CCCCGCGACTCCATACACTAGATCAAACACGAAATAGATCAAGATGACGGATGATTTACCTGAAGAAAAGCCCAAAATCCAATAAAGGCGAGACCTTTAAGGAAACTTGAACCACACGCTCGAGGGGCCTGAGAGAAACTTTTTATTTGGAGATTTTGGGAGATTCCTCAGTCCAAGATTCAAAGGAAAGCCAGATCTAAGACAAATATCAAGGTTTGAAAGAGAATGGGTGCTCGAGGGAAGAGGAATCAAGAGGAGAGGGGGAGGGGTTCGGTCGGCCCTAGGGAGAAGAGGAAGAAAAAAAAAGAGAAAAAAAAAAAGAAAAAAAAAACCCCTTTTATAGCCTTGAACCAGATCTGGCTGAACCAGACCAGACCAGTGGCTGCACCAACCAGCCAGATTGAGCCAGAATGAGCCCAGGAATGAGCCAGAATGAGCCAAAATTGAGCCAGATTTGAGCTGGCCTGGACCCAGACCGAATTGAGCAAATTGAGCCAGATTGAACTAAGAATGAGCAGTCTGAAGCCAAATTGAACAGTTTGAATCCAAATTTGAGATCGATTCAAATTGGAGCTGGGATTAAGCATTGAAAAGACTTTGTCCAAACCACGGTTACAGTCCTTCAACCTATTGAACCCTCTACCATATTTTGGCAAGGGTCGGACAGAATTTTTTGACCCAATACGTGCCTTTATTAGGACATTTTTTTGGCGCCGGTTCAGGATTATTCGCAACCTTAAAGAATACTCCAATAAGGTATAGAGTATAACTATTCCCTCTTTCCTTGTTGCAGCAAGTTTTGGAAGAAATATTTTATCTTTTTTTATTTGATTTTTTTTTTTATTTTTTTTTTTTTTTTTATTTTTTTCTAAAAATATTCTTAAGGATAACTCAACATACTTCCCAGGAGTAGTATGAAGTATAAACTAGACCTCCCGCTCCAAACTCCTTAAGAGCTTAGAAACGTTGTAGACTCCAAATACTTACGAGTTATAAACTGTGTTAAACGCCGGCACCCCACCGCGTCACAATGAGATTCAAAGCGCGTCAACCGGGTGCGGTCAATTTCATGCTTGAAGCACTAACTCGAGCTAAAAAGCCAGGAAATCAAGAATCGACTTCAAATTCAAAATTCCGACAAACTGTCAGGCAATAAATGTAGCACCGGAACCCTCTCAAGCATTCGACAAAGCACCGAATAGCCTGGATGATTGAAGGAATCGAGAATAGAAGCTATTCCAAGAGCCCGTTACACCGATTGAAGGTTGGGACAGTCATATCCAAAGTATTCCAGACTCCTCTATAAAAGAACGAGACTGGAAAACTTTGGAGGGGGTATCTGTAGGCATATAAAATTGCTTATAGGTCCCTTGACACGGTTCAACACGAACTAATGAACCATCAGGCGACGTATCTAAGCACGAACGTCAGTCCACAACACCGAAGCCAAGTGACACGCAACGAAGCGGATTAACAAGGCTACGAAGCTGACAAACCGCACGTGAACGACGGAATGAATCCACTCGCGTGCGGAATCAAATCAACGGTCCAGAGAGTCAACGAGTCATCCAACCATATAACGGATTCGAACTCAGACACCAAAAACCGAGCCACCTCAGGGTGGCTCGGCCAAGGCCGAGCCACCCCAGGGTGGCTCGGCATGAGCCGAGCCACCCTGAGGTGGCCGCCCAGATCTGTGCCAAATGCACAGATCTGGTTGCCTATAAATAGGCGGGGTCATTCATCATTTTGGGGGACTTTTGGAAGAACTTTTGGAGAGCCGAAACTCTGCCGGATTGAGACCTCATCTTGGAGTTTTTGAAGGCTTGAAGACTTGGACGTTCGGATCTGATTCTCGGCGAGCACCCGCATCACAAAAAAGGCAGGAGTTTGAGGGGATCAAGATCTCAGATCTACGTTGTTACACTCCGGATCAAAGCTTGGTCTTTGATCCCGAGATTCGAGCGATTGTTTCCTTGGTGAAATAATCCCTCCGGCTATTATTTCCTTGGTGAAATAATACCCGTTATACTGCGTAGATCTGTCCGGATCTAGATCGCGCGGTGGTCTACGGCAAACAACCCCGGCGCAGGCAAACAACCCACGCAAGCGAGTGACCGAATAACAGGAGCTCGCGATTTGTTCACAAGGAGAAAAAGTTGTAATTTTTGATTTTCTTTATTTTTGATTTTCATTGTAACCGGATCTAAAAAAGACCGGATCTTCTGTAACCGAAAGACTGTTATTCAAGATAGCAATGACATCAATGAAGAAAGCAACGATTTTCCCCGCGAACAATTCTTAGCCGAAGTCTCATTGACCACATCATATTTTAAATCTTGAGTTAAACAAGATCTAATCACACCACACGCTGTTCTATTCATCTTTTTCCAAACCTTCTTCTCGATGTCGTTCGGTTTTCCGTCCAACTCTAATGTGTCTTCCAACTTTTATGTATCGAGCACATCCAAGACTTCACATCTCTAAAGACCAAAATTATTTGTGTCATTAAACTTCTCCACATCTATCTTCATAGAGTGGATATTCAAACTTTGGACGGTCTTCACGCTGGAAGTATCCTCTACAACTCCTTCTTTCTCGACTATCTTTCTCAAAGCACCAACAAACCAAAGCAGAGCAAACAAAGAATAGATCCAAAATTAAAAAAAGATAGAGTCTTTACCAAAAAGATCCCATATTTATCACCAAACGAAGCCCTAGACGAGTCTTCAAAACGGTCTACTCTTCCAAATAGCCCAAGCATAACCCGAGCTCTGATACCACTTATTATGCGTACGAAAACCACAAAACCAAACCGATGTGCTTCGAGGAACCAAAACAAATGAACGCCAAGAGAGAAAGACCAAACAATGCAAAATAACGACATAAACTTAAATAACCAATTTTAACGTGGTTCGACAAGTTACCTACATCCACAGGGCAAGAAGGGGATAGAGTTTTTACTAATAGAGAAGAAAAGTACAAACTGAGATTACAAAATCACACAAACTCACTAACAAAGCTCTAATTCTCTCCAAAAAAACCTAACCAATACTTCCAGAAAATACCTCTTTTATGTGCTCCAAATATCCTCTTCGCTGCTCGCCAAACCTAAAACATGTTACTATATATATAAAAATCCTAAAACCAAAAGCATACTAGGAATTCTAAAATCAAAATCAAAGTAGATTAGAAATCCTAATAACTTATTACCAAAACAGATTAGGAATCTTGTTACCAAAACAGGTTAGGAATCCCAATAACCTGTTACCAAAACATATTAGGAATCCCAATAACCTATTACCAAAATAAATTAAAAAATATATTAGGAACTTGTTATTCAACAGGACGATGGTAGAGGAGAGGATTATTGGAGGTTGAGAGAGAGAGAAAGAGAGATATTAATGAAGACATGATTCTTGTTCCAACTTTCAGGGTTGAGAGGTTGAAAAAGTTTGCTTGGAAAAGAAAAGGTATTGCTCAAGACAGAAAGAACACAGTAAAAAGATTTTAACGAGGGAAGGGATTGAGAAGCTATCTTAAGGTCACACAGAATGAAGCGTTCAAATAGTATGCGAAGCAACTTGTTTGGAAAGATGGAAAATGTAACAGTAGTTAGTTCATCTGAAATTTCAATAGATTCAAAGTTTTTTTAATTTTTAATTTATTATTGAGAATTAGTATGAAGAACTTTTGCAGAAATCTGATATAGATATATATATAGATATGTATATTTTTGTAAGGAATTGCTGAGAGTAGGAATTGGTTGTTACAGATTTTTTTAAAGAAAGTAATTAAATAATGGGAAAAATGTCAAGTGGCCATTTCAATGGTAAGATATTTAATATAGTGTGTGTGTATATGAGCTTGTCTTTCCCTTCTTGATTCTCTCTTCAACTTAAAAATATGAAATCATTTTTTTTAATTTCAAACAGAATATATGGAACGAATGTAGTCGGCAATAAATATTTAGGATAATGCTTTGTTGTTGTTTTTAGAATCACCTCTTCTAGATTCTCTCTTCAACTTAAAAAGATGAAATCATTTTTTATTTTTAAATTGAATATATATGGCTGACACCAAACATTTAGGAGAAATACTTTGTTGTTGTTATTATTGTTATATATAATGACTGTATCATATAGTATAAGATACACTAAAAAATTTGTGTGAGTATATCTCCTTTCTTTTTCTCTTTGACTCCAATAATTCGTCTCCTCATCGATGGCAACTAAGTAAAACGGACTGATATGTGTCCCATGTTTAAGCATAGATGTGAACACTACAAGAAATTACATCTTTAACGAAGGGATTTTCGTTAAAGAGCTAAAAACTTTCGTTATTGTATGCTAACGACGGGGAAAAAATCCCTTCGTTACCCGTCGTTGAAGCCCTCTTCGCTAAAGGGTCACGAAGGGATATACTACCCGTCGTTATAGAGTCGATAACGACGGAACATATTACCATCGTTAATATTTACGACGATAATTATCACCGTCGTTACCATCAGTGATGGGGATATTTTCCCGTCGTTACCATCAATGACGAGAATATTTTTCCGTCGTTACCATTAGTTACAGTGATATTTTCCCTTCGTTGAAGACTAATTAATGATGGTTGAATACCGTCGTAAAAGTCCTCATAATGGGTAATTAGTAACCCATCAACAACGGTGTTTTCCCTTCGTTGATTAACAAAATACGATTTATAAAACCGTCATTGTAGACTATAAATTTCTAATATACATTAATAATATTTTTTTCATTCATAGGCAACTGTCATATTATTCTCAACCTCACACTAAGATTCTCAACACAAATATATTAAAAATACCTAATAATAAATAAAAGGGAAAATAAAAACTCCATTCATTAATAACATCAATAAATAAAATTCCACCATCCTCAAATATTCAATACTAATAACAAGAGTTAATATCCTAATTATTCCAAAGAAAAATACATGAAACTATCTAAAACAAATTAAAATAATAGTTTGGGAAAGACACATTCTTTCATCTCTAATCATCGTCAAAAGAAGACTCGAGCTACCCCCTCCTAATCTTGCATGGATAGCCTAAAAAATAATAGTTTGGGAAAGACACATTCTTTCATCTCTAATCATCGTCAAAAGAAGACTCGAGCTACCCCCTCCTAATCTTGCATGGATAGCCTAAAATTTTTTTTAAAAAAATCACATAATTAAGAAATATCAATTAAGCAAATATTATCTTATTAAGTAAAAAATCACATTTTTAGTACAAGTAGTCAATATAAAAATATATAAGAGATTTTACAAAAAAATTACCTAGTCCTACACATGTTCTCGAGTTTGAGAAGTCAATGAAGGTGATTGCCTAAAAAAAAGTTATTGCATAGCTTTCACTTGTGACTTCAACTCAGACATCCTTTATTATTGTTACTCCTGCTCATCTAAGCGTTGTTGAAGCATCTAATTCTTTCTCTTTTCTTCTATAACACGTCCTTTGTTCTGTACAATCTTGAGACCTTTTAGCAACTTTTATTCGATGAGTGGCAACAGCATAACGAGCAGACATTTGATTTGGCTCTAGCTTTGCTGCTTATACAAACATGAGAATGTAGCAACAAAAATCTAAGGACCAGGACAACAAACTCTCATGATATTCAAGCCTAAGGAATAAATTTTATGCATAAACCTTCCATTGCATAGATACCAAATGGACTATATTGCATAACAAGAGAAAGAATATAACATTTGTCAGATATCCCACAAATAAACAAATGCTATAACTATCATGATGTTGACCAAGTTCTACATCTTATACAACTTAGTTAGCAGGTGGAAAAGATGCAGAGAAAAAATAAGGTGCTCCACCATGTTTCTTGAACCCAAGTAACTAGAGCTATGAACGATGGATCAAAATCTTATCAGGACTTATTACTAATAACATTAAATATCAACACCTAATTATCAGTTTTCTCCAATAACATTAAGAAAATGTTCATGGATTAAGGAACTTTACAGAAGAAAAGCATATACCTGCTCCAAGCACTTCTTTGCATTCCTATAATCACCGACCACTTGGTATGCATTTGCAAGGTTCATCCATAATGGGCCAGCTTTAGGATCAGCTCTCAGCGTTGCAAGTAAGCAATCTTTAGCAACAGTTCCAACTTCAACTTTTTGTACATAAGCCCCTTCTCCTGCATTAGCTCCTGGACCTAGAAGTTGAACAAAAGATTAGAATGTTTCAGTGTATACTCAATTGTCATTTTGAAGAAACTATCTCAGTTTACTCTCTATTATCATTTTTTAAAAACTATCCCGGTTTCCCAAGTATCCTTTCTACTGCTGTTTTTATATTACTTGGTAATACTAATTCTGTTATTGACAAAATAGCTCTCACACGCAGAAAGAATAGAATTTGTTCAAATGACACCAATAAGAAATCTACAGTTTATGTTAGTAACTGACAATGCAGCCAAAGAGAGATATTTGTCAATCCAGAAACAAAATATGGGAAATCTTACATGTTTCAGCAAAGAAAAGTTTGCATAAAGACAAGGAGCTTTAGCAAATGTAAGTTAATTTCATCTTACATGTTTCAGCAAAGAAAAGTTTGCATAAAGACAAGGAGCTTTAGCAAATGTAAGTTAATTTCTCAATGGATATAAAGGAAGTGCAATATGAGACAGTTAAGAAAAAATATAATGTGATTAAAATGCAAGGGACAAGTTATAAACTTGTACTGTCCTAAGATGAGGACACGAGAACCCACGGTAAAAATGATGATATTATAAACATCAAATTTCAGCAAATTTACAATACTAACACTACAATGGCATTTTAACTCCATATATTAGGGTCATACTTGGAATGACAGATCCATATTTGCATAAGATGACAACAACATAGTTGATCAGAGCAGCAAGATGGTTTTGATCTTTCAGAAGCAGATCTTGAAAACATTTAGCTGAAAGCTCAAGTTTGCCACTGAAAATATATAGTCATCAAATCATTCATACAAAAAATCAGAAAGAAAAGACCTATGGAAGACATAATAAAGACATATCAAATCATTCATACAAAAAATCAGAAAGAAAAGACCTATGGAAGACATAATAAAGACATTGTTCAACCACTAACCTTAGTTAATCTAAGTAAATAAACTCTAGCAGCTAGAGAAGTGTAATCGTCCCATTTCCGTTTTCTAGAGGACGTCACGAAGAAGTCCTATAGATAGATAACGTAGAGCATCAACTTTGCGTTCAGGCTATTCAAAACACAATTGCATTCTTGGAAAATGATAATTACAGAGGAAAATAAGTGACAGAACTAGATATACAGTTTGTAGGCTATGTAAATACATAATTAAGATATAATTATTGGTTGGAAACAGAGGACGAACTCGCAAGAGGGTCCATGAAATAACCTTGACAAGATAGCTAGAAAGCAAACATTACACTGAAGTCTGAATGCTGAAAAAGAGAGATTCACCTGAGTCAAAGGTTGATGAGAAGCTCCTCTATTCAAATCATCACCATCCTCATCATAAGCTGTACAATGGACACCAAAAAAGCAATTCCATCAGCCATCTTATTTACATAAAATTATGTTTTGACATATAATACTTCTTATAATCCACCAACAAGAACATCAACGAGATAACATAACATAAAAGCTTTGTGTATGTAACAAATCAAACATATTATTATACCATTTACCATGTAATCTAAGCTAAATTACTCAGGAGCAGAAATATAATACCATGTAAGGACTAGGCCTTCCAGCTTTGATATCAATATCATTCAACGAAGCAAAATCAGATGGCCCAGTCGAAATGTTGTAATCCACCGCCCCATGCATCAGAGTTTGTGGCATCAGAGTCTTGGCTGGAGTCTATAATGGAGTCTAAGAATAACAAGCAAGCAATTCCTCAACCGAAAAAATCCCTATTAAAGTGATATGGAGATAATATTTTTACATAGATACCACAAAACCACCATATTTGCAATTTTACAACCCAAATCTATATACTTGCTAATTAAACCCCCACCCGGCTACCCATTGAGTTAAGATACCTCTTACATTCCTAATTCTTTGCGGTCATGCTAACTCAATATGATATATTAGCGCGAAATTTATCAAATATCTAGACTTGGTGGGTAAATTTACAAATATGGTTGGTATGTAGATGTAAATACCCCCCAATTGACATTCAATTCACCAGCGAGGGATCACCGGAGGAAACAACATCTCGGCCGTAGGCATCTCATACTCCTCGTACAGAACATTCAGATCTCTAACCGGTCGGTCGGGACCCACCGACCCGTGGACATGCTGCCATTCAAAATTCCCTGACATGACTATCGATTGCATCACCTTCGTCTCCCACAGCTACAAGATTTTCATTATGAAAAACCCAAGAATGACAACAGAAGGGACCAAATCTAGGGTTTAAGGAAGAAAGATTACCGCTTGGAGCTCGCTGAGGACCGCATCGCCGCGTCTTCTCCTCCATCGCAGTGGTTCCTCCGGCCGCGTAGGCAGCGCCTGGAGCGGCTGGGCCGACCAGAAGGGCAGGGCGAAGGCACAGGCAGCGGAGACGCCGAGGCGGTCCTGGAGGTAGTCGACGAGGTGGCGGGCCTCCTCCAGGGTGAGGGAGGAGATCTGGGAGCCAAGGTCTTCAATTTTAGGGAAGACAAAGGTGATGAGGGAAGGAGGACGGGGCGGAGAACGGAGGTGAAAGGTGGGGGGGAAGGAGTTTGGGGATGGGATGAGATTGAAGAGGAAGGAGAGACGACGAAAAGAGTTGGTGGGGTTGGACTTCGACAGGGTAGATAAGGGAGGTGGAGGGGGTTAGGGATTTGAGAGGGTGCGGTGATGAAAATTTTGGGGATGAATTTTTTGGCGGTGGGATGAAAATTTTGGGGAGAGCGGAGAAAGAAAACTTATTAGCCCCGTCGCCAATAATCAGTTTTTTACCGGTGGCAATAACTACGGTATCAGAATCAAATCAACGAAGGGATTAGAAAACCGTTATCCCATCTCATATTGTTATTTTAATAATTGTGATAACTTGATGAAGGGTTTTAAAACCGTTGTTATTTTACACACATTAATGACAGTCAACTGGTCCCTTCACTAATTTTGGTCATTGAATATCAGATTTCTTGTAGTCGATGAACACGGTAGGATCATCTCCCAGAAGGCAAAATGTGCGTTGTGCGGCCAGGTTTTTCAAGCTCATCATAAGAGCATCACTAACCATCTCAAACGTCATATAGAAAAACATAACAAAGGCCAGAATCTTTAATGTGATATCTGATAGTCTATGTTTTCCCAATCCTCCTCTTCTGGTACCCTCGGTAGTTGGAATTATGATGCTGCCCGAGCTAGGAAATACGTAATCAGGTTTATTGTTCTTAAAAACCTGCCTTTTAAATTAGTAGAAAATGATGAATTTGAAGATTTGTTTAGAGATGGTTTTTATCCCGCATTTACAAAATTTTCTCGTCAAACCTGGATTTTGGGGAAGACGGAGGCGCAGAGGGGAGGAGGACAGGGCGGCGAACGGAGGTGAAAGGGGGGGGGAAGGAGTTTGGGGATGAGATGAGATTGAAGAGGAAGGAGAGATGACGAAAAGAGTTGGTGGGGTTGGACTTCGACGGGGTAGATAAGGGAGGTGGAGGGGCTTAGGGATTTGAGAGGGTGCGGTGATGAAATTTTTGGGGATGAATTTTTTGGCGGTGGGATGAAATTTTTGGGGAGAGCGGAGAAAGAAAACTTATTGGCCCCGTCGCCAATAATCAGTTTTTTACCGGTGCCAATAACTACGGTATTAGAATCAAATCAACGAAGGGATTAGAAAACCGTTATCCCATCTCATATTGTTATTTTAATAATTGTGATAACTTGATGAAGGGCTTTAAATCGTCGTTATTTTACACACATTAATGACGGTCAACTGGTCCATTCACTAATTTTGGTCGTTAAATATCAGATTTTTTGTAGTGGAATATAGCAAAAAATCTAACAAACTCTACAGGGGATACCAAAGTGTGATAAGATTGAAACTTGGAGAACCAAAATATTTTAAAAAATATTTTGAAATATCAAATTAAAAATTGGATCAGACTTTTGCAAAGTGTCGTCGATTTGTAAAGAGACAAATAAAAAGGTGGGAGAAAGAAATAGAGATATGAGAAATAGCAGGTGGAGAGTGTGCATTTTGTGTGCTATGCTACAATAGTAAGAGGGGAAATTGTTAGACTTGGTTAACCAATGAATCGGAAATGCGGAATTAAAATGTTACCGATTTAAAGCATTCCAGGATCTTTATCGCCATCGGCCAGATTCACACTCCACGATAATCACCGTCAAACTCCCGTTTATAGTGAGAAAACAGAGATGTAATTCATAGCTCTAATGCCTCTCTAACTCTCTTGTTTTGATGGCTATATTTTCATAGTCAATCTTTTGAATTCTCGGGTTACTGTTCACGAGAAATTTTTTTTCTGTTCACCTAAAAGAGGGAGACTTTTTGTGGGCTTTAATTTTGGGTATAGTTAGTTGCTATAACTACCCATGATGGAGGGATTATACGATTATGGGTGTAACCACACTTCTCACTTCCTACAGAAATATTACATATTAATGAGCTAACTGATGGGGTAATGAGCTAACTGATGGGGCGTGCAACCTGTGTTATGCTACAGAAACCAGAGGGCAAAAATAGGTTCACTGGCTATAGATCCCCCCCTCCAAATAAGGCGAGAAAAATTTTATTGTTCAAACCAAACTTGTAAAGATTCCTAGGCACACCCAGGCCCAAAACACCACTATGAAATAAACATGTTACTCAGCAACAATGAAAAACCTAGTAGCTGGAACAAAACTGAAAATCTCTATTCACAAGTATACATCAAGAAACAGCAACCTCAAACGCCATTCACACCAACTTTGGATTCTGCATCAAATATGCAGCTTTGCCAATTTACATTAAACATACATCAATTTTCTGAAATTATCAATTTACACTAAACAAACACCAATTTTCTCTAAAAACGGAAGTTTGGCACGGAGAATTGTCCATGATTCCTCTGAGTTTACTTACGCTCACAGTGTTTTTTTGTTAAAGAAATATAGACAGATACGACATAGACGCATCTTTTTCTCATTAGCGGTACAATATAGACTATTAAATAGTAAATAAAAATTTATATTAGATAAAGAATAAAAAATGAATAGATGGTCGGTTTGTTCTTTTCAGTTTAAGCTGCGACTTGATCAACGAAAGCTTCACGGAACAAAAAATATCCATCCATCTTTCTAGTTGCCAGATAACGTATATCCAAGTCCCAATTGCGCAAATCACTTTGCTCTTAGAAAATTGAAGTGCAAAAACTTTCGACTCTCTTCGTACATTCTCGAAAGAAAGCAACAAAACATCTTGGATAAGGTTACAATTTTGTTCTTATTTGGAGTCATAAGCTGCCTCCATAGTCTAGTATATATTAAAGTGATGGCCAATTTCATGACAATGCCTTTGAGCTCTGCAATATATATCATGGAGATGGTATCAACTGTGCTCCACGACTGGATTTCTTCTGTTGTGATAAAGGCGGATTTAATTGCCAACTCTCTACGGATATGAAGCACGAATCCCGGCTGTACTCTTGCTGATCTCTAGCTCTTGCAAATCTTCCTATGTTCTTCTCTTTGGTTTTCTTTCTTTATCTTTTTTTTTGTGTTATTAATACTTCTTCCATGTCAAATTCTTAAATTTGAATGATTGTTTTTATTGATATTAGTTCATGTAAAGCATATCAAACCTCTAAAATTACAGTGAGATTCATAATCTCATGCTCTTAATATATTGCATTCTTTCATAGGCAGCAATTTGGGCTCGCGGAGCGACGTTTCTTTTATATTTTTCACCCGTTTTAAAAATTCGTGGCCAATAAAATTTAAAACTGGATTAATCTAATATTATGTTAAATGTTCCAGCTACTGCTCCAAAAACATGAAGTTACAATAAAAATTGAAGGTAATAATTTTATTCTCAAAAATTTCATAGCCATGTCCATGCTCTGCTTTCCATTATAATCGTCCATAAAGTAATTGTAAGCATCTCTTGACTTGATTTGTTTTTCTTTGGCTTACTTTCCCTGGAAGGTTCAATTATTGGGAATGCAGCGAATTTCAATTGGTACATGCACCAAAAGAAAAGACAAATTCTTTCAAAAAAGAAAAAGAAAAAGAAAAGAAAAATCAAGTCAAGAGATGCTTCCATAGAAGACATTGGTGCATGACTCCTGTCAATGTCTGAGGTGCAAGGTTATGTTGGTGGCTACGTCATTTGGAAATATGTGAATATTGCTGTCTTTATTATATACGCATATATTTATTCATTATTGTTCATATATTTATTCATTATTGTTCATTCTTTCTTAACTTTTTTCTCTCCCCTCTTGTACATCTTGGCAACGAAACTGATATTTCTTACAATTGTGGAAACTTTACTATTAATTTGGACTATTTTATCCAGATTTGGATTCTCTCTACTATTTTTAAGAGAAATTGTTGATTATTTAATAGATGCTAATGGACAATTGTTGAAAAAGACGCGGAACAGGAAAAACTCTGGTCAGTCGACAGATAGAAGTTATTAGTCGTCCGATACGTGCACACTGCAGGAACGGAAAAACGTCACACTGGACAGTCAACCGATGAATCCATATCGATCGACCGATGAAGACCTACTGGTCGACTGATGGCTTCCTATCAGTCAATCAATAGCGGGCAAAATAGATATATTTGTTTCCCAGTCTGTTTTAGTTTAGAGTTTTATATATTAAAGGCACGTTTTGTTAGGGGTTTATCATCAGAGAGAGGGTTATTATCAGATACTTTTGAGCACTTTGAGAGGGAGAATTTTGATGGTGAGTGAGATCTTGTTGGTTAGGGTTATTGTGATTGTTTGCGAGTTGTAATCCATTGTATTTATTCTCCATATAGTAAAATCTCCCCATCCTCTTTCTGTGGACGTAGGAAAAACTTGCTGAACCACGTATATCTATGTGTTTGTGATTAATTTTGATTGTTTTATTGTGAATTGTGCTAGTGGTGTTCTTTGTTCGTTGTTTATCGACTCGTTGTGGTTTGAGTCTGCTTCCGCTAGGCGTAACAATTGGTATCAGAGCTCTAGAGTTTCAGATCTAGGGTTTGATTTTGGTGGAGGAAAATTTGGTGTTGGAAGCTTGGATTTTTAAGATCTAGGTTTCGGTGGAGATTGCATTGCAGAGTTTCCATTAGAGATCTCACATTCCTTGTGTGGTTGGGAGATTGTTTTGGAATCCTATCTAAGGTTCAATTTGGGTAATTTCTCAATTCTATCAATTTCGAATTTTTTCTCTACAATTTAGAGTTAGTAAGCAATGGGAGAAGAAAGTGATGAAAGTAGCAAGGCTATGTCGAGTACAGTTCAGGTTGTACTTCAGAATACAAAGATTAGTGTTGTGAAATATGACGACAAAATTAATTTTGGGTTGTGGATGAGTGATGTGTAGGATGCTTTGAATGCTCAAAACTTAGAAGAAACGATAATGACCCATGAGAGGCCACCTAAATACGATGAGGCGATATGAGACAAGATGAATCGAAATACTTATGGAGTGATTAGGTCTTGTTTAGAACAAGAGTTGAAATATGATGTTATTAGCGTGACGCCTGCGATGAATATATGGGAGATTCTCAATAACAAGTATCTTATGAAGAGTGTTGAGAACCGGTTATACTTGCTACGGAGATTATTCAGATTCTAAATGTCCAACGGTACCTCACTTGCAGATCATGTGAACAACTATACGAAGTTATTGTTGGACTTGGCAAATGTTGATGAGAAGATATCGGATGAGTACAAGACGATCATTTTGTTAGGCTCATTACCCAATGAGGATTTTGACACCTTTGTGCTTACATTGTTGAATGATAGATCTTCCATCACCTATAGTGAAGTGACTAATGCATTGACAAATTTTAATATGAGGAGGAAATATAAAGAATCTTCCAGAGCTAGTACTTCAGGAGAAGCCTTGTCGACAAGAGGAAGGAGTCCCCATCCTAGATGTGATAATCAGGGCAGGTCAAAGTCAAGAGTCCACTACCAAATTGTGAAAAACCAATGTGCTTTCTGCAGAGAACAAGGACATTGGAAGAGAGATTGCCTAAAGCTGAGAGAGAAGGAGAATAGCAAGAAGAAGGGCCCGAAGGCCAGTAAGGTGAATGTTGCTAGAAGTAGTAATGATTCTGATGATTCATACTTTTCTCTTTTGATTACTCCAGAGGTTAACCATGCAGATGCATCAGATTGGATGCTGAATTCTAGCGCTACTTATCATATGACTCCCCAGAGAGATTGGTTTGCATCTTTTGAGAAGCTCGATGGGGGTGTGGTGGTCATGGGAAACAATCAGTCCTGTGGCATTTGCGGGATAGGTACCGTCAGGATTCGGATGCACGATGAAATTGTTAGAAGTTGAATGAAGTAAGGTTTATTACTCAGCTGAAGAAAAATCTTATTTCTGTTGGAGCTTTAGAGGCAAAGGGATTAAATGTAGCTTTTGAGAATGTTGTAGCTAAAGTTACTAAATGATCATTGGTAGTGATGAAGGGGGTCCGCAATAGAAATCTCTATTATCTGAAAGGAAGTACCGAGATTGGCCAGGTAGCTTTAGCAGTTTCAAAGGCGGATGCTAGCAGACTTTGGCATTTCAGACTTGGGCACGCAGGGGAAAAAATCACTGCGAACATTGTGCAAGCAGGGATTATTGAAAGGAGCCAAGAGTGGAAAAATTAAATTCTATGAGCACTTTATTATTGGCAAGAAGACTAAAATGAAGTTCGGGACAGCCATTCATAGGACAACTAGAATTTTGGACTACGTGAACATGGATGTATGGGATCCCACCAAGATAGTATCACTTGGTGGTTGATATTAGTTTGTCATTTTTATGGATGACTATTTTAGGCGTTGTTAGATGTACACCATGAAACAGAAGAGTGAAGTCCTAGAGATATTTGTGGAGTGGAAGAGAAGATTGGAACTACAGACAGGGAGAAAAATCAAGATGTTGAGATCCGACAATGGTGGTGAGTATACATTAGACTCCTTTCATCAGCTATGTAGAGACGAGGGCATAGAGAGACACTTCACAGTTAGTCATACACCGCAACAGAATGGGGTGGCAGAGAGGTTAAATCAGACTTTACTGGAGAAAATTTGATATTTGTTATCGTAGAGTGGTTTAGAGAAGATCTTTTGGGCTGAGGCACTCACATATGCAAGCCACCTCATTAATAGGCTTTCTTCATCAGCGATAGAGGGGGAAGATCCCTATGGAGATGTGGTCGGGAGAACCAGCACATGATTATGATTAGCTTAAGGTTTTTGGGTGCCCTGTATTTTATCATGTCAAAACTGATAAGTTAGAACCTCGAGCTATGAATCCCATCTTTGTGGGTTTTAAACGTGGTGTGAAAGGATACAAGCTTTGAGATCTAGTTGATAAGAAGATTATGCTAAGCAGAGACGTCACATTTGATAAGGCTTCTCTCTTGAAGCCTCCCAGCTCTCATCAAGTGGAGAGAACCCCGACAGTAGAGGCATCACAGATGGTGGAGATTGATGTAGCTCTACAGAGTTCAGATGGGACCGTATCTAGTAGAGTACTGACTGAGGTGGCGCCATGTGAGCACAGTGATGAGTTGGTGGATACAGGTACAGTAGAGCAGGATCAGGGACTGACGGCTCAGGTTCAGGATTCTATAGCAGTTCGGAGACCCAGAAGAGACATGCGGTTGCTAGCAGGTATACATATACAGGGTTGCTTATGCATTTTCGGTGGAGAGTGTCGATGAAATTGTTCCTACTACTTTCAGAGAAGCTGAACAGTGTTCAGAGGCTGATATGTGGCAGGTTGCTATGTAGGAGGAGATGAAGTCTCTTTATAAGAATGACACATGAGAGCTTGTTGAGCTTCCAAAAGGGCGGAAGGCGATTAGTTGCAAATGTGTGTATACCAAAAAGGAGGGCATTCAAGTCACTCCCGTGAGATTTAAAGTTAGGCTGATAGGATTATTCACATGAAGAAGGTATTGATTACAATGAGGTCTTCTCTCCGGTGGTAAAACACTCTTCTATTCGGATTTTACTAGCTTTGGTGACGCAATGATACGAGTCACCGTGCGAGCACCTTTGATCGCCGAATTATCAAAGATGGGTTGAGAAGAAAATAACAAGAACACAAGAGTAATTTAGTGTGGTGAAGGAAAATACCTTCTCTGGATTATGAGAATCAAATAACTTACAATCTCTCACAATCTCACTAGAATTGAAGAACAATCTCTTTTAATTCTCTAAGTACAATATAATCTCTCTTGATTGTTTTAAAACCCTAAAACAATCCCTTTTATATGTGAAACAACGTGGACGGCAAAGTGATAAATAACTAAGCCAAAACCCCACAGGAAAACGTGTAAACAGAAACCCAAACAAACCAGGAAACCATCGATGAGTCGACTCACGTGCAGGTATGAATCGACTCATGTCATATGGGTCGACTCATGACAGTCATGAGTCGACTGGTCAGAAACTATGTCAACACCTGCTGGGCTTCGTGAGTTGACTCATAAGAGTCATAAGTCGATTAATGACACATGGGTCAATGTCACGCCCCGCTTCCCAAAATATAGGGGAATCGGAACGTGAACAAGCCCGCGACGTATTAGATTGAGAAGAAATATACACTATTATTTTTTTCTTCTTTTCTTCTCAATCCAATACACTAAGCGTCTGGAAATAAATATGATGCAAAGGCACAGGTCCCCGATCACAATCAGTAAGAATATAATAGACAAACTTAGAATAAAAAATATCATACCATAAATGAGATAACATCCGAGACATAATATTCGGGTCAACATGCTCTTATACAAAATGAACAAATGAATATTAGAGAAATATAATACATCGTTCAAACTGATATGGGAAGTACTACAAGAGTAAACGGAACCATCAACTAATAAATAGAAAGAATAGGCTTCGACTCCTTCTTTTACTCCGTCTACATGGTACTCCTGCTGAGAATCATCTGGCTCCTGTTGAACCTGTTCTTCCTCTAAGTCTGACGTACACCAGAGAAAACAGGTGTACGTCAGGATGCATGGCACACGGTAAGACCCCACAAAACAAATAGAACGAACGAAAACCCACTATAACAAATTGCACTTTTCCCGACGCTTATTCCCGACGCATGGTTAAATACGTCGCCAAAAAGTATGTTTTTTCCGACGATTTTAGTTAGCGTCGGCAAAACATATATTTTCCCCCACGTTTATAATTAGCGTCGCTAAAAGTGTATATTATTTGCGACGTTTTAACTTAGCGTCGGTAAAAGTGTATGGATTTCCCAATGTTTTTTTATTTTCGTCGGCAAAAGAATAGCTTTTAGCGACGCACAAATATTCGTCGCAAAAAGTATACATTTGGCGACGCACGTTAGCGTCAACAAAAGTGTAGCTTTTAGCGACGAACAATTTTGCGTCACTAAAAGTAACACTTTTGCCAACGCTATATTGCGTCGGCAAAAGTGTTACTTTTAGCGACGCGTAAAACTTTTCGTCGTAAAAAAGTAACTTTTGGCGACGCTTTACTATTCAAGTGCGTCGCCAAAAAAGCCCCCTCGTTTTTTTCATTTCCCCGCCTACTTTTAATTTCCTCCCCCTCTTTTTTTTCTTTTTTCCCTCTCCGTCAAAAAAGCCCCCTATTTTTTTTCATTTTCCTCACCACCAAAATCCCTCGCCGCCCCCTCCTCTGCCTCCTCTCCACCGCCTTTGGCGGCACAACCGCCGTCCAATCTCGAGACCAGAAGCTCAACCGGATCGTCGACGATCTCCTCGCCCTCACAAAGGCCGAGCGCGAAGACTACTCGACCCTCTTCATGTTGGATATTTTTTTGAAAAAGTCAAATTGACTTAATCTAATCC